TTCCAAAGCCCTTTGCTGGGAAGACAAAGAACCGGGGGTTGGAGGAAGGAGGTGGCCCTGCAGCTCCATCCTGAATCTGAAACAATGTAACCAGGTTCGGGATCCCTGGAAGACAGGAAACATGAGATAGAGTCGTGGCGCTTCTATCCTCATTCCTAGACAGCCGCACCAGAGCGAGCGGCCTTCCTGACTATCGCTTAGATGTGAAGCCGTCCATCATCAGACTTATCACATTGTTGTACATTCAGCCATTCATTCATTTGTTCATTCATTCATCCATTCATTCACTCATTCATTCATTGATTTGTTCACTTATTCATTTGTTCACTCACTCATTCAGTCCCTCATTCATTTGTTCACTCATTCATTCATTCATTTGCTTATTCACTCACTCATTCATTTCTTTGTTCACTCCTTCATTCACTCACTCATTCATTCCTCTGCCACTTTGTTCTGAAAGAAAACGCCTTGAGCAACCATTCTGAACGGGGATCATGTGGTCCAGGTCGGCACCGCTCAGGGAACGCAGTGGGTGGGATCCTGTGTCTATAGAGTCATCTGTCTGTCTGTGGGATTGCCTGAGTCTGCTAAATCCTTTGTATCTTCAGGATCCCGATGTCTGTGGGGACCCGTCTCTGTAGGTTCTGCGTCTTCAAATTCTAATGAGTAGGAATCCGAAAACATTTGGGAAAAAATGCATTTATACTAAACATGTACAGACATGATTCCCTTCATCCCTTAAGCAGCGTGTTCTAATGGCTACACAGCATCTGCAGTGGGTTAGGTTTTGTGTGCCAGCTCAGAGAAGTCTTGCAGGCTCTGAATAAATTCTATGCCATTGTCTATAAAGGGCTTTATTTAAGGTGTCTGTGGGGTTCCTGGGCCTGGTCTCTCGTGAACCCTGAGGGTCGCGTGTAGAAGGGGAACTATGTACGGAATTCTGAATGTCAGTAGCTGCTTTCACACAGTGAAAAGAGCGTCAGAGCTGTGGCTCAGTAGAGGAGTGTTTGCCTGGTGTGCATGAATTCTGGGTTCAATCCCCAGTACTGGAAAACAGAACAAGAAAGAAACTGGTGAGCGCAATCAATAATTTACTCCTGCAACGTAGGGTCAATGGCAGTGATGGCAGTGTGCGTAGATCCTTGAGATTGGGATTCTCTTCTTTACACGCTCAAACCCTTTGTAGCCAAACCCTGTAGTCCAACCTACAGGACTGTGTGTTTCCTCACAGACTCACAGGTCAGTCGGGGTGTAGGAGCGATGACTTCCAGAGGAGATCATTATGACAGATCAAGGCCAACAGCATGCAGGTGCTCCTCCAGCTGCTGTAGCCGGAGCTAGCCCTCTGAGCTCAGCAGTGACTGTGACAAGACCAAAGTAGAGGCTTCCACTAGGAGCTTGGACTGTGGTCAGTGTCCTGTGGGAGGATTCTGAGAATGGAGGTGCTTGAGTGGGGGGCTGTACTGGGCCAACTGGAGTTCTGTCTTTATGTCACTCAAATGCCTACATCAGCAGGAGAAGTGACCTTCCTACCAGGAGTCTGTTGGCAGATCTTGGGGTGTGGTGGGGTCTCCTCAGCCTAGATACCCCACAGAGTGGGAGGGTTGTGACCTGCCTCTTTCTGAAGAGGGGCAGCTGTCACATCCCACGCTTCCTTTGAATGGCCTTGTGCTGGGAGAGGTAAAGACCAGGTGCCTTCTTGTTTTAGACAGCGTTATTAAGGTGTAATTCACAGGGTACACAGTCTTCTCGCTTAAAACGTACAGTCTGGTAGGGGTTATAACTCGGATGGCAGAGTGCTTTTTGCCTAGAGTGTACAAGGCTATGGGTTCAATTCTCAACACTGTACAAAGCGAGTTCCCTGGTGCCTGCCTGTAATCCCAGAGCTCATGAGGCATCGGAAGGAGGATGAGGAAGGAGTTCAAGGTCAGCTTCCTGTAGGATAAACTCCAGGATAGCCTGGGCTACATGAGACCATGTCTCAAAAACTAAAAATAAATAAAACAAGCAAGTAAATAACGAAATGTAGCACCTGGCAGTTTTTGCCTGAACAATTGTATGTAAGCATCACTTCTAGAGCATTCTACCTCACCAGAGAGAAATCCTGAGTCCCTCCATTCTTGATGTGAAGCCTGGCAACCTTGTGCCTCCTCTCTGTCTGGCTTCTGCCTCTCTGTATTCGCCGGTTCTGAGTGTTTGCCTATGACTCTGTAAAGTCACACTGTGTGTCTGCTCAGAACAAGGTCCTGAATTTCATCCACACTGTTGCTATGTTATCACAACCCTGTGGCCAGTGGTCTTTCTAACTTGTTTGCCTACTTCTCTGGGGTAGTGGTAGGTAGATGAGGCAGGTGTCCTGTGGCAGAGGAAGTTGGGAAGGTGTGGGAAAGACTAGGTGAAGGATTCAGGGGTCGAACTCTGTCCTACAGACCCAGCCCCTCTGTGGGGGGGATAATTTTATAGTAGAGAAACTTTGGTCCCCTTGACAAGGCTATCCACCCAAGTAAAGTAGAGCCCTGCATATTGGGGAGAAGGTGAGTCTGAGCTGCCCCAGTGTCCCAGAGCTGGAGTCTCCAAGGAAATCTCTGCCTAATTTTCAGAGACTCAGAGTGCAAAGGTCACAGTAGTGGCATGAGCCAGAACTTGGGGTTAGAGAGATGGCTCAGTGGTTAAGTGCATTTACTGCCTTTACAGAGGACACAGGTTTGGTTCCTAGCACCCACACACACAGCAGCTCACAACCACCTATAACTCCAGATCCAGGTAATCTGATACTCTCTCTGTAACTGAACTCGGAGGTCACACCCTGTGTCCTGAGCCAGATTTGACCACCCATACTTTAGTAAGCTAAATGCCATATTAGGAAATGGGACAAAGATAGCAAGTCAAGCTTGGCTTCAGGGTCCAAAGGGAGAAAGGAACTTAAGCAGAGGATCAAGAAGTTGCTCATCTAACACCGAGTCAAGGTGTGGGGCAACCCACTGGTGATAAGTCTCAGTGGGGACAAGTCGTTAGAACTATGTGAAGTCTCTTTCTGAGAGACAAACTCCCCTCTAGGGACCCTTTCCTTCTCCAAGAATGAGATTCTCTTTCTGAGAGACAAACTCCCCTCTAGGGACCTTTTCCTTCTCCAAGAATGAGATTCTTGAAGGGAAACTTCCATTTCTTTAGGCCTGTTGTTTTGAACTCGGATAGTTAGACACAAGTTTAGATTACCTTCATTTCTTCAAATCCTCGTACATCTTTCTGGACGGCTTCTGCACGGGACACGCCTGTGCTGAGCATACACGCACCTGGGCAAACGCCGACACACATAAATAAAAAATAAATCTTAAAAAAAAAAAAAGAAACAACTAGGGCTGGAGAGGTGGCTCAGAGGTTAAGAGCACTGAATGCTCTTCCAAAGGTCCTGAGTTCAATTCCCAGCAACCACATCATGGTTTATAACCATCTGTAATGGGATCTGGCGCCCTCTTCTGGCCTGTTGGCAGACATGCAGGCAGAACATTGTTTTTAAAACAAACAAACCAACAAACTAGACTGTTACTTACCCTTTTCCTGCTCAGCTTCCACTGTCTCCTGAACTGCTCTTCCTTCTGCTGGGTGGTCCTTAGTAGGACCCTTCCTTCTGTATCAGCTTCCTTGACTCTGACCTGACCCCAAAATTCCTGTCGAGGATTCACAGTGGACCGACCACTGAGGCCTTGTCTTCTCTGGCTACTTCCTGTAACCATCTTGGACTGAGGCACAGGAGGGGCCAAGCACAAGGTCCCCATGAGAAGAGAGACCTGTGGTGTGGAGCAGTGTCCACCCCAGGCCTTGACCTCCCTTGTTGTCTTCGAACACTTCCTGTTCTGGGACTTAGAGGAGGCAGGCTGGTGGGCTGAGGTTCTGAGGCTTCTCTGAAGAGGGGTAAAGGGCTGTGATCACGCTTCCTTGCCTTTAGTCTCCGATAGATTGCTGGTCAGTTAGAGCTGCTCATTCCTGCCTCACATCTTTGGGCCCCTCCTCTGTGATGTGGGAACAAAGACAGTGCCCACCTCAGTCCTGCAGGGGTCCGTCTGAGCTTTTGGGAAGGTGCGTTGGTGCAGAGAGGATCAGTTGAGCATCGACAGTTAGGGACCTGTTCTGGCCAGCGTCAGCCTTTGGGTGTGTGGACTGGGTAGTCCTCCCATTGATAATTTGTTGAAATACCGAAGGCAGAAAGGTGAGACTTCCTTAAAGCTCCTAGGGCGGACTGACCTGTCCTTGGGTCCCAAGGACGGAGAAAGGGGGTTCACAGAGCTCAGGTTCACTGAATACACGATTTAGGGTTAGGGCTGGGCTGCCTGGGCTAGCCTGAGAACCAGCAGGGGTGCTTGGAGGAGCTGCCAACCCTGGAGGACTGGGGAAGTCTTTATAATGAAGATAAAGCCAACAGCTTAAACAAATTCCTTTGGAAGTGGTCACTGGGATCTCTGGGGACTGAGCAGCCTCAGCTGAGTCCAGCACTTAGAGGGCTGGGCTGTATCTAGGAACCACATCTGGCCTTCCAGGGCTCCCGTGCTCCAAAACCTGGTGTACTCCCAGCCCACCCCTGCAGCCAGGATCCAGGCTCTCAGGTCTATATGAGCACTCCAGCCTCTGGGCTGACCTGGGAACACAGTGGAGCCCACAGGGGTCTTGGTCTGGGAACTTTCCCATCCAAACAGCTCCCTTCCAGGTAGGTGTGCAAAGCCCCAATTCACCTTGCTGGCAGCTGGGTGGATCCCCAGAAGCCCTGGCACCCGGGAGGCGGACGGAGAGGGGCAGGCAAGAGAGGTGAATATGCGTTTATCCCAACACAAGTAGTGGCCTGTTGGGGTGGGGTGGGGGCCCCAGGAAATATTTGGGATGACTTGGAGCCGGCTGGCCCTTTAAGGCTCCTGTAACAAGACACCTCCCCAATGGGACAGAAGCTGTAGCTGGGGCTTCCACCTTAGCCCTTGTTTCTCCCCTCCCTCCTCCCCCTTCCTTGCCAGGCCCAGTTCAATTTGCTCAGCAGCGCCATGGACCAGATGGGCAGCCGCGCGGCCCCTGCCAGCCCCTACACCCCGGAGCACGCCGCCAGCGCACCCACCCACTCGCCCTACGCGCAACCCAGTTCCACCTTTGACACCATGTCTCCAGCGCCTGTCATCCCTTCCAACACCGACTACCCTGGCCCCCACCACTTCGAGGTCACCTTCCAGCAGTCGAGCACAGCCAAATCGGCCACCTGGACAGTGAGTAGCCGTGTTGCCAGCGAAGGGAGGGCAGCAGGGTAGAACGCCACGGTCCCCGGTACTGAGGTCTGACTGAGCACACAGGCTGTCCACACGGGGTTTCCACCTGGCCAGAACCAGGAGGTGCATCGAGCAGGGGGCGGGTCCTGGGGCTGGGCAGTGTGGGTGTGGCCACCCCTCGGACTTGTGGCCAGAGTCAGCCAGGCTCCCACTCGGTCCGGAGAGGTCGGGAGTGTTGGCGCCAGTGAGATCCACAGTGAGAGTGTGGCTGGTTTTCTGTGCTCAGTGCCTTGAAATTGGTCTGGTCCTGCACCTCTGCTGGCAACATTGAGAGCCCACAGGGGCCCTCGTAGTGTGGCCGTTTGCTGGTTGTGGATTTGTGCTCTACCTTCATATCTCTCTGTGTATTGGTTTGGGACCCGATCTCCATGTGCTGAGGGCTCTGGTCCTTTCCCTGGTGCCTCTAGGATCAGCTTGGCCTATGGTTGGGATTAGCTGATGTTGACAAAGTCCCACCTGTACATTTGCTGAGAGTTGGGCAGGCGGCTAATGCCTTGACTTGCCCAAGGTGGAGTCTGTGCCCATTGCACAGTTAGGGAAGCTGAGGTATGAGAAGGGAAAGCAGCTTGCTCGAGTGAGTAGAGCTGGGCTGGGGACACAAGGCTATGAGTGTTCTTCCCCACTGAGCATCCTAGCTCTCTGTGGAAAATGGGGCTGCAGGAGGAGCAGACCGAGACTTAAGGATGCTGGTCTGGGCACACAGGGCATTGGGTAGGAAGGGAAGTCCCAGGGCTTTCTGGGCTCCCAGCTAAAGCTAAGGACAGGGAACCCTGAACCTGGGATAGTAGGAGGTGCACTGAGGGATACTGAGTCATCCATCCACTCTCTCCAGGGAGCAGCTGGAGATGCAGAAGTCCATTGCAGTGGAAGCTCTATCTCACTCCCCTCCCGAAAGGAGCTCTCCCTCCTCCTGAGGCTCTTCTTTAAAAACTAAGCCCCACAGTTGTGGCCCTCACATTCTCTTTGGAGACTGAAGAGCTGGACAGAGCCAGACCTTGTAGGCGGCCACTGATGATTGGTCCAGCAGGACTGGCTCTGGTCTCAGGCCTTGACCTCCTAGAGTTTCTTTTGGCTACTGTTCTGTGGGTCTCCTCAGCTGCTGGACCACCATCAAGTGAAGATTCAGCCCAACTGCTGGAGCTCTGACGGGCTTCAATGGGCCGAGAGGATCTGGGTACCTGTGGTGCTTCATCCTGAGTCACTGTAGTAGGCCCGTGTGCTCTATTCTCCCTGATCACAAATTATTGCTGACTGAAGGGCGGTGAGTCGAGGAGGGTACACCTGAATGAGACAGGAATGGTATAGTACACAGCTCTCATTCCTGTCCTGGGGCAGTGAAGGAAGCCATCCAACATGGCCCCCTGAAGTTGGCCTTTGTGTAGAACTACCTGCTGACGGCCTCCTTTTTTGTACTACCTGTAGTTTGGGGGATTGAAGGGCACCCAGACTCTTCCTCCACCCAAGAAGAGTGACCTGGGGTCAGGCTAGGAAGCCCAGGAGACACATGGCTATCTCCGTTGCAGGGGGCTCTCTACGCTGCTCTTCTATTTCCAAATGAATTCCCTAACCCTGTCTTAGAGTGAAGTGGGGTCCTGTCTATCATAAACGTCTAGTTGTGTCTGGAGGAAGTCCCCCTGGATTCTGGAAATGATGCTGTATGTGGAGTCACCTCCCTTCCTCTTCCTTGCCTGAGGATGTTGATGGGGCCGGTCTTTGCCATGCCTGTGGGCTCAGGTGCCTCAGATGGTCAGGACTGGTCTTTGACAGGGGCAGACAGTGCCCACTCTACTGGATTCCTTCTCCCATCTGGTTCCTCTGCAATCCCCTCTGAAGTGTTTGGTATCAAGTATCCCATGAGGGTCTGTTTTCTGCTGCCCTGCTCTAACTGTCCCCAGGGGAAAGTCTGCTCAGGCCGGCCAGACATACCAGAGATCAGGGAAGGTTTGGCCTTCCAACCCAACCTTCACCCCATGCCAGGGCAGCAGAGCTGAGCTGTCAGGCAGGAAGATGCTATTGCCTGCCCCCTCCCGGCCCTGTCACACAGGGGCAGAGGTGGGACCAACATTGATAATGAGATTTTTGGCACCTTGGCGATCTGAGAGCAGACACCCGAGGGTTTTTCTTGATGCCGAGAGAAGGGACTGGCAGCAGCTGCTCTCAGCTCTGGGGGTCCAACTGTGTGGGTGCTGCCCAGACTTGCCACAGAGTCCCCTGCCACGCCACTGGTTGGTAACTGATAGATAATTCATATTTTTCTCAAGTACAATTCCATATTGACTGCTGCCCCCATTCCTCTCAGATTGGCAAAAACACTCTCACTGGCCTCCAAGTGACCACAGCTGTTAATGGGGCCTTTGGGCTCGCCACTGCTGAACCACTGTGGGACTCTCTGACCCCAGAGGATCTGCTTGTTCTGACCAACTTCCCTTAGCCTAAAAATGTGCAGATGCAATAAGAGGTCTGGGCCCTTAGAGTGTGACCCTGCATGTATGAATATATACACATGCACAAGGTCCCATATACCCGGGCACCTAGGTACACAGGTGTGTGTAGTGCCTGCATGTATACACTTATGAACACACAAGGATTTAAACATAAACATGCTCAGGGAACTATATTCATGGATACATAGATGTACCCACATATACTGGTAAACATGCAGGCATGTGTGTACATATGCACACGCATGTACATGCTAACAGATGCGGACGAGCATGTGAGCATACAGGCTAGTCGCCCTGGTTGCTGCCTGGGGTTCTGACAGTTCCTTTCCTCAGAAAGGCTAAGAGACAGGTGGACTGGCCAGAAGAGGGCTTTATGTCTGGGCATGAAATTGCAGAGAGCTGGTCTCAGGAGTCCCCCAGCAGAGGAGGAGATAGGACAAGGTTCTTTACATATTCAAACAGCAAGATGAGAGGGGTTATCCTGCTGCAAGATGAGAGGGGTTATCCTGCTGCTATGTAGCAGCAGCCCAGCTCCTTCACACTGGTTTTACCTTGCTGAGATAGATGACTGTCTTCAATACTGGAGACACTGAGAGACAGAATTCTGTGGTTAGGCAAGAGGACCTGCGTGGATGGTAACTCTGGTCTGGTATAGTGTCTGTAGAACCCCAAGGGCAGGCTGTGACACAGCCAATCTACTACAGAGGCAGCTGCAGAGGAGCCCAAGAGTGAGGACATGTTCCTGAATGGCTTAACTGCCTGGGAACATCACAGATAGACAGATGGCCTGGACATGGCCCCAAGTGACCTTCAGGTGAAATTGCCTTTAACGTGTGTGTGTGTGTGTGTGTGTGTGTGTGTGTGTGTGTGTCTGTCTGTCTGTCTGTCTGTGTCTCTACCTGCCTGCCTGCCTGCTTGTGTGTCCTGAGAGAGAGCCCCTACCCACCCACCCACCCAGCAGTCCCTGGAGGGAGGCACAAAGCCTCTGTGAGGGATTCCTGGGGAGGACAGGGCTGAGTCAACACTAATGGATTTGGAGCAAACTTTCCAGCCCCTCGGAGGTTTGCAAAGCACAAGAATAGAGGAGGTGTCCCAACATGATTGTGGTATCAATTGCGTTATCCTAAAAGTTTATGGAATGCATAAATGGAATTAATACCTTTTACTGGCACGGGGAGCAATTATGTATATTTAAAGCCCAGAGAAGAGTTCTAACAATGTTTATTGTGGAGATGAAACGTGAATTATTAGGGGAAACAAGAGCACTTATGGAGAAATCATAGCAATTGCTCATATTGTGTCTAGCTTTGGAGGCGAGGATGGGCTGCTTGTAGGCTGGCCCCGGCTTGGTCTGTGCTGGGTACCTGCGGTGGGGATGAGTCTCTGCTTTATCCATCCGCTGGTGGCCTGAAGGACTTTGGTCCCCAGTAGGTACAGAATCTAGCCTGGAGACTCTGAACCCCTGGATCCAACTGCAGCTAGACACTGGCAGGCTAAGGATGCTTCCCAGCTGAATGGTCACATCATATACCTCTAGGGTTCTAGCAGAGGACGGGAGACAGGGAACCTTGGATGACAGGACTCTATCCTGTGGTTTGGGAGTCAATGGAGGATTAGGTTCTGATCCATGTGTTACAAAGGATCATCCATTTCTCAGGGTTGGCTGTGTGTACTACAAGGTGTGATCCTGGTTCAGGGTTGGCTGTGTGTACTGGGAGTGTGATCCCGGTTCACTCCCCCGTTCTCCCCTCAGGAGAACTGATGTGACCCTGGAAGGCCTAGCTGACCCTTCCTCAGACTGTCTCACATTGGCTCACGCCACAATGAGGAGAACTTTACAGGAGAGTGGATAGAGACCCAATCCCAATGGGGTTGTAGAAGACTCTCTAATTCCTGTACTCACAACTGATACAGTGTGACATCTCAGGACCCCAGGTGCCATCCCTCAGCCTGCAATAGACACATGTGTGCCTCCTTTCCCGCTTTACAGATGAGGAACTCGAAGGGCGGTCAAGGACAGGTCACCCATCAGCAAAGGGCAGAAACAAGATGGTGACCCCAACAACATATCCCAAGAGTCTGTGAAACTCTTTCTCACTACTCTGCCCACTGCTCCAAGTTCCCTAGGGGTAGTTCTGGCACCCTAGGAGCTTTGTGAGCAATAGTAAGTAGGCTCTGACACCCAGAGGCTCACCTGCTTGTCCCAAAATGGGGAGCCTGGCTTGCTTCTTAGCACCCAGAGAGCTTTTATCCACCCAGACTGGCAGAGACACACTATCTGCCTACCATCCTCCCTGGGTAGATTCATAAATGCTTTCCGATTAGAATGTTTTAGAGGTGACCAGCCTCCAAGATGAAGAGGCCAGCCAGGCCTATGGAACGCCCCTCCTTCAGTTCCTATTGTTGATTCATAGGACGTTTGTCTTGCTGGACAGAGCCCTGCCTTGCATCTCAGCTCTACCAACACCTTACAGCTGGGAGAGAGGCCAGTGTGGG